CCACAAAACAATGAGCAACCTGGTGGTGAATATGACTAATTACATAACTGATAACTTCTAAATATCTGAATAAGATTTTCAATTAGCGTATCAGCACTAAGAAATAAAAAAAGAATTAACATAAAGATGTTCGTTTCAATTACATTATCTGAATTTACAGTTTGTATTTGAGATTAAACATATTAGAACAGACAATATTGCAACCATGCAAAAATGTGAAGAAAACAACTCCAGAACAAGAAAGCCCTGCACTCTTCAAAAGCACTTGTGTCCTGTCATGCAAAAGTTACAATAGCAATCAAAACAGCAACATAAGAAATTATGTAAACATATACAGTACCTCCTCAGAAGACCAATCATCAAAAGAATTATTGACTTCACCACCTCTAGGTGACCATATCAGTCCTTCTCCAGAAACCTTATCTATTTTATCACGCAAAATGGCTAATTCCCTCCATCCCCTCTGCCCATGCATCATCTCATCCATTCTGCATCAACATTATTAGTAGAAAACATAAATCAAGCAAACAATATTTGACATAGAAAAAACTATGAACTAAATCCACCAAATCCCTCCGCAAATTTTAGTTCAAATTGCCAAAAATCACAGTGAAGTTCAAAACTTAAGCAACAAGATTAGAAGCACTAATAGTTCACTTATGAACAAAATATACAGATTGACACACAGCGATTATGATCATATGATGGTCAGTATCTTTTGCATAATAATGATATAACATAACATACAGATTTATAGCATCACTGTCAACATTTATTCATTATATCAAACCACACATTACTTAAACTGTAAGACAACCTATTTCAAAAATAATAACAAGACAAACTGGAAGTGAAGAATTATTGTAAAGTTGATGATTACATTCAGACATCCACAAGATATGTCAACACAAAATACAATTTCAATGTGAAATAACCTGAGAAAAGCTCTCTGTGCAGCAATGCCCAAATCTCCAGCTGAATAAGCTTCATGCTTAAGCACTTGCTGGTGAAGATACTTAGCACAGAACTTAGCCACTGCTTTGCCTGCAAATTCATAGAACTTGATGTAGATAATACATAACTACATATTGCTAACCAAATGAAAGGTTAAAAGGCACTTTATTGCTTAAACCCCTACTATTACTATTGTGAACTCCATACCAACTAAAACAATGATCCATTTCTAAATACGGGGCAATTTGATATCGTGTCAAAGAGTCACGAGCACAAGGGATTATTGATTGCTTCTACCATCGTCCTTCTTATATTTCTTTTAAGGTATAATATCTTCCTTCTCGTTCACATTGTCATACCAATCATCAATTACAGAAAACCATCTCTTAACTTCTTTTCAAGATTTGATTTGATATTAATGAAATTTTCTAAGTTAGTTTACAATCTTGTGGCAATGTTTGCAATATGGTCCTCAGAATAAACGAATGTACAATCAAAGCCTTCAATATTCATATTCTGTTTAATAATGATATTGGTCAATTCCTGCTAGTAGACACTAGATGCCAATCATTGGTGGTTCTGTAAAATCCAATAGTGACACACTAGCTAAACTTAACAAAGTCAGAGAGAACTTTACAGAATGAGAAAAGGCGAATTAAATTTGATTGCATTTCTGAGTTGTTGTATAGCTAGAACTCATGGTCTAAGGGTCAAATTCAAACATTTTAAACTTAACTAATCAATGAACTAGCCCTAAAGCTAAACCATTTGAAGTACACTCTAAGCTCAAAATACTTGTTAGTTGATTTCTAACATGCCATACAAGCATACGCTTGCACTCTCATTCATACATTATGTGCAAAGTTAAGTCTCCACACGAATATGAAGAAACAAGGCTTAGATCTAATGCAAAATCTGCTATTTTTCAACAGCAAAATTAATTGCCTGGCATAAATAAAATGCACAAACAGTATTTTGTTAAGAAAAACGGGCCAATTCAACTCTTACCAAGTAACCTGGAAATCAAAATAATACTTGATTCAAAATATAGTTTTAACAAAATAGACGGAGATATGAAAAGAAAAATAAATATATCAATGAAATAACAGCATTCAAATTAATGCTGACCTCCATGGCCATCATAAACACCAAAGAAAGATGTGGAACTGTCCAAATCTGGGTAAGCTGCATGCTGTTAAACACCTCATTTTCAGTATGCAATATAACAAAATTTATGGAAAATCATGAAACTGTAAGTTCCCTAAATGGGAGGCATATCTCTGTCTTTTGCAACATATAGATTCTTTTTAAGAATGCATCAGTTTTAAATTTATTGCCCTAAATTTAAACCATTATCATTGGAAATATCACTTTCCATATGAAATATCACGTAACCATTATCATTATCATTAGAAGTATGTTATTTCTTAGCTAGGACAATTTGGTTAAAATCTCAAAAATTTTTAGCAATGACAACATTGTTGAAGAAAATTAAAGTTGAGTGCTTTTGCTAAAGAAATTGAAGGTTAACGAACAAGCTGAAATTTAGTGATGAAGTTCATCCATAGAATTCAGCCCAAAAATCAGTGCTGTCTTGCATCTTTCCAAGCCTCACAGAAGAGGCAAGAAACATATTATATTTGTTTCTATTGAAATCTACATAAACTAACAAGATATACTAAAAAATACATTCTAACAATGGTTCAGCTACCCATAGCTACTGTCAGATAACCTGATGCTTTCCATCCAAATAAAGTTATAAACAAATAATGAAATTTAGTCCTTTCCATCCAAATAAAGTTATAAACAAATAATGAAATTTAGTCCTCATATTTTATTTCATTCAATTTGGTGATGAACTATCATGAACAAAGTCCCAATTGCAAACAGAAGTGATCATGTCAATTATAAGACAATACAATTTTTTCAAAAAATATATTTGATCAGCCACAAAATAAAACTGGCATTGTACACAATGACATGAAAAGGAAGAAAGCTCAGGCAGCAAAGCAGTAAGGAACAATGTTCAGAATTTGCAGCACTGTTGCCAATACCACACAAAGTGCTGTTCTGTGTTATTTAAATAATTTTTCTTGCAGCTTGTTATACACAAATCCTTGGTTCTTGCAGACAACATCAATAGTTCAAAACTTTTAATGCATGATAGTCCTATATATCAAACTTCATAAAAATTTCTTTCCAATTTAACCCCACTACCCCAGTATAAACCTGCTGAAAACTCGATCTATAATTTATCATGACACGTCTTCAAAACACTAAAATGAATTATGAATAATTGTGAAGACTTCCAGGCATTTACATCACTTTGAGTATTCCATTCTCCTTTTAAATTGCCATTTTGAGCATATAAGAAGAGCTGACAAATTATTTAATACACTGGGTACCTATGAGTTTAAACCTTAGGCACCAACGCTACAAGGAAAAAAAAAAAGGAAAACAAGATGATTATGTCCATAATTATTATAACAATGCCGATAAGTATGCCCAATAATGAAGGATAATCTTAAAAATTAGGCATCTAATCACGCCATTATGCAAAGATTATACAGAAACAAATGTTAATTAAAACAACAAGATTACAGAGAATACTGACAGCATCTTCCATGGTTGTACGCCACCCTTGCATGGAAGACACCCCATATCGAAGTCTATCATTCTCACCATCTTCCGAGGCCTTTTCAGTTTTAGGGGTGCTGAGATATATCCCCATCTCCTGTTGAGCAAAAACCAACAACCACGCATAAACCATCAGGTTTAGTTATATATATGCAGACGAGTTTCAATATCTTACAATATTTCATCAATTAATACCAAATCCAAAACCAGCGCGATACAGATCATCTGACAACAATTCAAACTGACGTCATCCCATTAATGATAGAACCTAAGTCTATATCAAGGAATGCATCACAAAAAGAAATTTAAATTAAAACGCCTCACAAAAATTCTTCAACACTTCATTTGACGACGATTTAGGAGGAAACAGCACAAGGTGAAAACTAAGCCTCAAACGAAATAACATCGAAAAAACCGCAAATGCCAGTAGTATGAAGCAGAAATAAAACCAGAAGGTTTCAATTTCTATAGATTTCTGTACATTTTCTAGCAAACCAAACAGACTATAGAAAACACAAACAACTAATCAAAGAACATCTACGAATTTGATCACAATACAAAATAATTTGACAAGCAAGTATTGGCGATTGATAATGGATGAAGAAAATAAAAATGCCTATAGGGTTTTGCGATGTAACTGTACTCACTAGTCAGTTTCAACGTCGGTCCGTACGATCGCAAATGCAGTGCAGAGGGAGAGAGTAGAAAGTCAGAGCAGAGAAATATTATTATTTGTGTATATATAGGGAGAGAGTAGAAGTCAGAGCAGAAGAAATATTATTATTTGTGTATATATATATATATATATATATATAATATATATATATATATATATATAATGGATAACAGGTTTCCTAGAAACCAACGACCAAGTGACAAAAATGGAAGGGGCTAACAGTACCTTTCCTTTTCAACTCTTTAACCAGCGGTAAGGACACGCGTGCTGGAGGTGGGCAAGTTATTTATTTAATTTTATTTATTTAATTTTAACCAGCGGCAATGGGCAGCACCGCTCCTCCTCCCTCAGCCCGTTTCCGACCACCATCCGACGCAAGGGAGGTGGCGATCGACTTCCCTGGAGTCGCCGGTCCGTTTTCCAGCCTTCCCTCGCTCCGATCGGAACTCCGGCGACGCGAATTGGAGCCGTCTCCTTCGACAGCTTTGTTCTTCGATCTCAGGCGCGTCTCCATCGTCTCCGGCAGTCTCAACGCGAAGGATGAGTACCGATCGACTCGCCTCCTTCGTGCGAACGCTTCTCCGCCTTGAACTCCGGCGATGGCGCAAGGAGGATGAACGCCATGAGAGTAGGAAGCACAGCGGCTGTCAACGCCATTTTCGGCCAAACGGGCCACCGTCTCGATAATCGGATGACAGAATCAAGATCCCTATGAAAATTCGAGTTTAAGGATATGTGAATTGCGAAATTCTGGGCAGAATCGGTTTTCCGGCACAGTAGACGGCGACTGCGGCGGCACTCTGGCGAGGCCTCAAGAGACAGAATTCTCTTCTTCGCGCTGACCGTGAAATCGTCGCCCGATTCTCAACTGGTACGTTCTAAGACTAATTTTTCCATTTTCGGTATAAATTCTAAACTTAACAATTATTAGTTGATTAAATTGAATTTAAATAAATAATCAATCAAATAGGCTAAGAATCAGTCGGATTTAAAAAATATAGATGCAAATTAATTTTGAATATTGTTAAATATATTTCATGAACATTAGTTATAATTAGAAGGTTTGGTATTGAGGTAAGAATTCTGCCCGCTAATTTTAGAATTTTAATAAATATTATTGGGAAGAGTTATAATTTAAGGTTTAGACAAGTAAAGTAAATAGTTATAGAGCAATTAATAATATCATTGGAACAAGCTCGGAGGTTAATATAAATTGTTAATTAATTGATTTGGAATTATTAAGTGTATATATGTAGCCTGAAGCGGATGGGTTAGTTGAATTGATTGCCCGATAGATGGGCTGTGTGAATTGAGTAATCAAACGATTGATAAATAAGGTTATGGCGGACGGGATGAGATGATGTAAATTGCACAATGGATGGCTTTGATATTATATTGTTAAATCGTGGTTTAGTTAAATTTTAAGGGAGATTCTGCTGAAATTTTGATAGAACCTAGGCTAGTCTTAATTAATAGGTTTAATTAGATTAATTCTTTATCTCTACTTATATTATTATTATCATTAGTATTCATTTATTTATTTAATTATTTATCTATTTTCATCATCATTATTGTTTATTATTGTTGTTTAATTTGTTAATACTAATTTATTTTGTTTAATTTGCATTTAATGGAGATGTCTATGGTGCATTGCACTACTACAATGTTTTAATTGATTTAATAATGCTTGCATTATGCTCTTGATTACCTGTGTTGTGATATTGCTGTGTCTTGTTTGTGTGGAATTAGGATCAAGTGGGTCATTATGGGTTTGTGAGGACGGTCGATAAAGCATGGATCTGAAATCGGTACCCCTGTGTGCGCCTGATACCATGGATTATATAGAAACCATAGAGTGGCCTCCTGTTGTGTGCACGTGATAATCTGGATGTCATGGAAGCTCACAGGGTGGCCTCCTATTGTGTGCACCTGATGATCTAAATTTGACGGAGACCACTGGGTTGCCTCCTGTTGGCCTCCTGTTGGTATGGAAAAGAAAAGAGAGAATGAAAAAACAATGAGAGGACTGGTCATGTGAAGATTAGACCGGTCGGCCAGGTATGGGGGATTGGCTCCTCGAGTGCACACGTTTGAGAGGATGGGCCATGTGAGAGTACGACTCGTCGGGGGTTTAGGTGACGCCACTGACTAATTTCCACGTGATGTGAATATGTTAATAATTGTGAGTGCTGGTGATATGTTGTATGACTAGCTGCATGAGCATATAACTAGTCGGATGACTAGATTGATATGTTTACACATTTGTGTGAATGTCTGTGTTGTACAATAACTATTACTGCTTAGAACTAGATTGATATGTTTACACATTTGTGTGAATGTCTGTGTTGTACAATAACTATTACTGCTTAGAACTCACATGTCTTGTTTAATTTTTCAGTAAATAAGTTTCTTTTTAATTCAGTTCAAGTTATGTTTCTTCCCCGCAGGGCTATAAAGAAATTTTCTTAGTTCTATAATTATTTTGCTATGTAATTATATGTATAAGAAGCTATGCATATCGAACAATTAGTGACTCTGCAGTTGTAGAATTTACATACATTTAACCGTGTCTTAACATAGATGAAATAATTCTGTGAGCATGTATTAGGAATGTAATGTATTGTAATTGGGTTCGAACTGTGGAATATTGAAGAGGATAAATTTGGGTTGAGATATAATAAAATCTTGAGGTTTATTTTTCTAGTAATATGAGTTGAATGTTTGAAATTTATATTGCGATAGCATATTTTAGTGTTTCAGGCTTACTACGGGCTTCGGGGCCTTAAGCTTACCTGGTCCCTGGTGCCGGTCCGCCCATTAAAATGCGTTGTGACATTATTGGTCATATACATAAAAAATGAATATTTATTACTCTTTGAAACTACAAATGTAATAAGTATTTAAAACAAATAAGTATGATGAAAGTGAGGGAATAACACGTAATCGACATAGATTTTCAAAAAAATAGAGATGGTATTGACTAGGAGGAGTAGTGTGCATTGATATTAGGTTAAGTATAACATATGGTCTTTGTAGACTTCATAATAAATAGTTTTTATATATAATTTTAGCGTTAATTGCAATTTAAAGTGTGATTGTAATAAAAAGTTACATATTAAAGTAAAATTGACATAAAAGTTAAAAATGGTATGTAATTGTAATAAAATATAAAGTTAAAGGTATTTTAAATACATTAGGCTTAGTATAGATCTACATAGTCAAGAATTGGAGTGGAATGTTTCAAATTAGTGCCTCTTTTGGGACTAGGGACTAGGGAGGAACCTCGTGAACGTTAGACAGTGAACCATTATTTTTTGTCTTTTTCCATTCGTTCATCTGAAATTTGCAACATTGAGAAACTATTTTCTTTTTTCTTTTTCTTTTTAAATGAAAGGCTAAATCACCAAAAAATAATTTTGAAACTTCATGCTTTTGGCAAATTTAGTCAATACTTTTAATTTTGTTAATTACTATTTTTCAAGTAAAATTTTGCAACATGTTCGTACATGATTTGTACTTATTTATTTATTTTCTTTCTTTTAAATTATTTTATAATTAAAATTTTTATTTATTTTTAAAAAATAAAATTTCACATGTTAGTTCATCCTTAAGTATTTTTTTCATTAGGGTGGTAAAGTCTATATTAAAAAGACTAACTTTTTACTAAAAATTAAAGTTAAAAAACTTAAAATCAATTAATAAAATTTAAATACATGGTAAGTACCTATTAGTTCAAGAGTTAATTTATACATTTTGCTAAAAAAAATTGAGTATCTAAATTTTTATTTTATTTTATTTCAGGGGACTATTGCCCCTTGGCTCGGAGTTGCCTTCGCCTCGAGGTGTAAAACATAATTTGACAAAATATATTTTTTATGTTTTGAATGACCAAAATGTAATTTTCCATGCGAATTTTTTTTTCTTTAAATTATTGGGGTTTGGAAGCCCCTACCCACCAATGTAGTTTCATCCCTAATGACTAAAATTTGGATATGAGAAAAGAGAGAAGAGTTATAAATGGAAATGAAATCCCTAATAACTCCAATTGTTTCAATATCTTACAATACTTCTTAGTATATTATAAAAGGAGACTATCTGTTTTGTAAAAAGTTGGTGGTTTGCAAAATAAAAGCACTGATTGTTAACGTTTTGTAATATTTTTTTAGAAATTTATCAAATGATTTTGTTTTTTATAAAATTACCGGTTTATAAAATAATAGTTCGAGTTACTATTATTTTGTAATATTTTAAAAAAATAGTTGTTATTGTAAAAGTTAATGAGTTATTTTGTAATATTTACCCCGAATGTTTTGTAGCAAGTGATTATTTTTATAAAATTGCTGAATTATAAAATAATAAAACCAAAATTTTAATATTTTATAAAAAAATAAATATTTTGTAAAAAGTAGTATTTTCTTTAACTCATGGTAAACCTAGGCCAATGTTCCTTGAAGGCACTATAGTCTATAGGTAGCCCCGCTAAACTAAAAAAACAAATCTCTCACCAACCACTTTGTAGGACCCACGGGTTCGCAGTTATTCTATTTCAATTCTATGCTTACGATGTAGTGGTGGATCCCAGTTTTACTCCACCAAACCTTATCAACTGTTTCCGGGCCCATTTGGTGATAGTTGGTGTAACATGGGCGACACCGCGACAGGGCAAGACTTCGTAAGCGGTTCGATTTTACTATAATAATAATAATAATAATTAATGGTATTTGAGATTTATCTCCGTTAAATCACTTGGTTTTTTCATTTATTTTTTTCAAATTTTTCTGTTAAAACTTTTAAAAAAGATTAAAATATCCTAACATTTAAGAAGGATAAATAATTAATTCGTTTCTGAGATTTGATTAAACTAAGCCATCTATGCAGTTTAACAATATTAATTAATACAATATTCAAGAAATAACATTTAAAATTTGAAGAGTAAAATTTAATAAATTGGGGGTCAGATTTGTCAAAAAAACAAAATAATAATACTCTTCAAATTAAAGTAGCAGAAAGCCAGAAACAATGTTCAGAAGGCCATACAAAATATAGCTGACGCGTCGAGTGGACACGTGGGGACTTTTAACACGATAAGTGGAAAAAAGTAGCAGAAAATTGTGGACGAAATATGTCAGCAGATTGGCTCGCAAAACAAGGAAAATAATTGTTTTTTGGGAAAATAAAACAAAAAGCGAAGACTCAAAACCGATTAGGATTAGATAATGTCACCGACCCGTTACTTCCTCGAAAATAAACGGTCTCTCTCTCTCTCTCTCTCTCTTTTTTTTTTTTTTTTTTTTCCTCGAAAATAAAAAAAAACGGTCCCCCCTCTCTTCTCTCTCTCTCTCTCCTCTTTTTTTTTTTTTTTTTTTTTTTTCAGTTATAGTACTAAATATAACCGATGGATAAGAAGATTTACAAGGATTTTACACGTGGCCTGCACGCAATAACGGAGGATACAAATCCGATATGCCCTCAAAGGTAGGAGGTGATGTTAGAATTAGAAATTTGTGGTCCTTTTTGTATATACAGTATCTGGTCGAATTATACTTCTCTTCCGTTACTAAATAATTACCACGTGCTATAAAATATATATTTTCAAATATGTATCTTATTTATAATTTTAAAGAGTAATAATTTTTTTTTATATTTATTCATTATATATGATTACAATTAATATTATAATTATTTAAAAATTTTGTGTTTAGATATATTAAATTACAGTATTAACTGTGATCATATGATCATATATAATAAATATATATATATATAAAAGATATATTAAATTAAAAGTAATATAGTCAATTTAATCAATAATTTATTGTAACTTAAAAATTTTAATAATTTCCTTAAAAAATATGAAATTTTAAATGTGACAGTTATTATGAAACGTAGTATGACAAGATAGTATACAAAATACCGTAATATTTATCACATTTGAGAAAATAGTTTGTTTCAAAATATTTACCGCATTTAAGGTTTTAAGGAGTAATAAATATTTTTTCCATATTTACCATTATATACAACTAATTATTATCTCAATTTAATTATTTTCTTGAAGAATTAGTATAAAATTAGGGATAATATAATCAATTTACTTAATAATTTATTATAACTTAGACAAATTTAATAGGTTAAAAAAAACGTAAAATTCTAAATGTGACAAGTCTAATAAAATAAAGATATATTAAATTAAAAGTAATATATTCAGAATTTAGTTTAATGATTTTCTTGCGTAATCTGGCGAAAAAAAGGAAGCTCCAATTTCTATTAATTGAACTTCATCGAGTTAAACTTTTGAAAGAGCAATATATATATATATATATATATATATTTATAACACAAATGCCTTCAATCCATTGCATAATGCTACTTCTGTTTGTATCACATCAGATCCATACAGAGGAGGCGCTTCCATTCACAAAAATCTTACACTTGATCTCTTGCCTTTTACCAAGTTTTTATTTTAAAATAGCAACCCTCTCTTTAACTCGTATTTGGATCTTAAATAAATAAAAAAAAAAAAGTCCTCACATGAACAATATTCAAAGAAGGTTTCAATCAATGAACACGATTCCCTAAATACACAAACAGGACCCAAGTTGCAAACCAATGCTCTCTCTTTCTCTCTCTATATATATATATCTAAATATTCAAAAACATCATATTTTGAGCGTCAATGGTCAAGCCCAAGAAGATATGCTGATTATTGAATCTGTGTAAACATAAATAAACCTATCACTATCACAAACTCTAAAACTCTAAAAGTCATTGAATTAAATGACTTTCATGGAAATTTTACACAGTCAAAATAAATAAAATTCTTTTAAACTAATTAACTAAAATGATTCGAGTTTTCAATTTGAATTACCGAGTCAAAGAAAACAAAAACACACACATTCAATTTCAATTACCGAGTCAAAGAAAACAAACACACACACACACACACACACACACACAATAATACAAGTACAGAACTCAGAAAAAGTCAATTAATGGGGAAAAAAATCTGTCATTTACAATCCAAATTGTAAAATTAACGCCCATGGTTCTTGCACTCGTTAAGGTTAACAACTTACAGTATAAGTAGCTACGTGTTACTTCTTCTCTTTGGACTCCATCAATCATTCTCAGACGGTCGATCAGAGGAGATTGGCCCCTGGTCGAGAGAAGTACCTGAACTGATTGATTTCTTGAACTGCACTATGATCATGGTCATGTTGTCACATCCCTCACCACCGGCTGTAGGTGCCAAACACCTCTCGAATACTTTCTCGCAAATAGCTGAAAGCCTACTTTCCTGCATGGATCGTAACAAAAAGAAACTGTGGTTATCTATTTTCTTGCTGCATGTATTTAAAATTTTATAGTAAGTGCATATAAAACTCACTTTGTTTAGCTGCTCACGCACATAATCCACTAGCTGTTGACTAGACATGCAATCCCTATTGCAAGGGGATCAAACATTATAAAACTGACGAGGAAAGGAGTATAAGGAAGGAGTATAAGGAAATTGTAAATCTAAATAAACTTTCTGTAAATTGACATCTTTAAGCTTCAAATCCTACTTAACTAGATTCTTTGCCCAATTCTCATCATGGTAATGGAAGCACATACTTCTAAGAACAGAAAGCTGCTACTTCTAAGAACAGAAAGCTGCTTACCAAATGCCATCACAAGCAAGTACAAGAAACTCGTCATCATCGCAGAGCTCAACCTACGCAAGTAGTATTAAAAAGAAAAGAAGTAAAAACTCAAATGTCTATTGTTAAGTCACATTATTTGGATTGAAAAAGTGCTAACAGACACACAAGCATTGATTACAGAATAGCAACCATAGCTTAAATTAACAAAAATATTTCACTATACATCAAATTGCATTGTCAATCTCCAGAAATATAAAATATTAACTGAAAACAGTGAAAAACAATCTAAAAGAACAAAGGAAAAAAAAAAAAAAAAGATAAAAAACAAAGCAAATACTGTGGAAGCAGCCCTACAGTGTTTATGTCTGGATTGGCAGTTACAATTTGTTTCTCAGCAGGCAGTGACCTGTTCTGCTTGAACTCCACATCCCCTGAAAAACATATAGCCAATGTAAGAAGCATTTGAGACAAAACAGGAATTTTTTGCCTTGTCATGCAATAACTTAACGTACCAATCGCCCTAGCCAAGTTCAAACTTCCATTAACACGTCCAATTTGTATGAAACCACCAGCTTTTAGAATCCTGTCCTTCTCAACCTCAAGTTCAGGCTTGTGATCCTTAGACAAATTGTAGGCCTGCATAAAAAGGGTTACATAAAAGAATGAAAATGTAAATGTACGATACAATTTGTCCGTGTTTCAGCATATGTCAGAGGAGAAAAATATCCCACATTTCAGACTAATGTGCCACTTTGCCAGAGGACAATGGAAGTATCCCACCTGCTTCAACAATCGAAGCTGTTCCTTTCCTTGCAACTAATTGAGAGAAGAGGTAAGGGACAACCTATGCCTTTCACCTTCTTTAATTTTTAGATCCTTAATATCATATTTTCATCACTAGGAAAAAGAAGCTTGACAATGAAATCGTAAAAAATTTATTTGCTTTACACTCAATCACGATTTTGATACCACTCAATTTTCTTTTGAATTGTTTTCAGAGGTATCACAGGGCTAGTTAAAGGAGCTATAGAAATCACAACTAGAAAATCCACCAAGCTTTAAATGAGATATTTGTTAAGAGTCGCAAGAAACTTTGTCAAACTAACTACAATGAGATATTTAGTATGAATTTCTTGGGTCAAATGGTCTAAGAAATCCTAAAATTTGCACTCTATTTGAATAGTCAAATGGTCTAAGAAATCCTAAAATTTGCACTCTATTTGAATAACAGGTCCAGGATATGTGGTCATTCTAATATGATTCTTAGATGAAAGGTAAACATGGAATAATTTGTTGGCTTGGAAGAAGGTAAGATGCAGGCCTCACCTATGTCATAATCCAACCAATTTGGACTAGTAGGACACATGATTGCAACTAAAATTTTGAAATTGGACAAAATTCAGAACATGCCAATATTTCCCCCATTAGACCGAAAAAGATAGATACCGGTGTATGAGTAGAGTGTGTTTTAATCAAATGCAGCAAACAGCCACAAATTTTTTATAGATACCACTAGTGTATATTAACAGGAAAAAAATTACCTGACCCTTCCTGGATATAACACAACGAGAATCACCAGCATTGGCAACAACAAGTTGATTGTTTCGAATCATGGCAACACATGCCGTGCATCCAGAATTTGGTCCTTGAAAGTCAGAATGAGGTCCCTGGTTTTGCCCAAAAAGACAATCGCATTATTTTATCATTGGATTGCTCAAATTATTGAGCAATTTCACAGTTGAATACAGCACACATCAATCAAGAACTAAACGTGAGCAGTAAAGCCAGGCACTTGAAAAGCACATTGAGTACTATTCTGTTTCACACACATCTTCCCTGAGCTTATAAAATATTGGGAAACCAATATCAGAACCTATTTGGTCTACTGGAATGCCCGTCAGGCCTCAGGGTACATGAATGACAGCCCGTCCTCATCAAATAGATCCCACCCATCCCTCCTATCCTTTCTCTCTCACGTCCCATTGTTGGAACCTGTAACGGTGAAACCTCCAAGTTGGAAATTTAATGTTTAACCACAGGTATGCCTCCACAAACAAATCAATAACTAAGTATGGAATACCACAAAACAACGAGCAACCTGGTGGTGCATATGACTAATTACACAACTGATAACTTCTAAATATCTGAATAAGATTTTCAATTAGCGTATCAGCACTAAGAAATAAAAAAGGAATTAACATAAAGATGTTCATTTCAATTACATTATCTGAATTTACAGTTTGTCTTTGAGATTTAACATATTAGAACAGACAATATTGCAACCATGCAAAAATGTGAAGAAAACAACTCCTGAACAAGAAAGTCATGCACTCTTCAAAAGCATTTGTGTCCTGTCAAGCAAAAGTTACAATAGCAATCTAAACAGCAACATAAGAAATTATATAAACATATACAGTACCTCCTCAGAAGACCAATCATCAAAAGGATTATTGGCTTCACCACCTCTAGGTGACCATATCAGTCCTTCTATCACACCAGAAACCTTATCTATTTTATCACCCAAAATGGCTAATTCCCTCCATCCCCTCTGTCCACGCATCATCTCATCCATTCTGCATCAACAGTATTAGTAGAAAACATAAAGCAAGCAATATATATTTGACATAGAAAAAACTATGAACTAAATCCACCAAATCCCTCGGCAAATTTTAGTTCAAATTGCCAAAAATCACAGTGAATTTCAAAACTTAAGCAACAAGATTAGAAGCACTAATAGTTCACTTATGAACAGAATATACAGATTGACACACAGCGGTTATGATCATATGATGGTCAGTATCTTTTGCATAATAATGGTATAACATAACATACAGATTTATAGCATCACTGTCAACATTTATTCAATATATCAAACAACACATTACTTAAACTGTAAGACAACCTATTTCAAAAATAATAACAAGGCAAATCGGAAGTGAAGGATTATTGTAAAGTTGATGATTACATTCAATCATCCACAAGATATGTCAACACAAAATACAATTTCAATATGAAATAACCTGAGAAAAGCTCTCTGTGCAGCAGTGCCCAAATCTCCAGCTGAATAAGCTTCATGCTTGAGCACTTGCTGGTGAAGATACTTAGCACAGAACTTAGCTACTGCTTTGCCTGCAAATTGATAGAACTTGATGTAGATAATACATAACTACACATTGCTAACCAAATGAAAGGTTAAAAGGCACTTTATTGCTTAAACCACTACTATTACTATTGTGAACTCCATACAAACTAAAACAATGATCCATTTCTAAATAGGGGGCAATTTGATATCGTGACAAAGAGTCACAAGCACAAGGGATTATTGATTGCTTCTACCATCATCCTTCTTATATTTCTTTTAAGGTATAATATCTTCCTTCTCGTTCATATTGTCATAGCAGTCATCAATTACAGAAAACCATCTCTTAACTTCTATTCTAGATTTGATTTGACATTAATGAAATTTTCTAAGTTAGTTTACAATCTTGTGGCAATGTTTGCAATATGGTCCTCAGAATAAACGAATGTACAATCAAAGCCTTCAATATTCATATTCTGTTTAATAATGATATTGTTAGTAGACACTAGATGCCAATCATTGGAGGTTCTGTAAAATCCAATAGTGACACACTAGCTAAACTTAACAAAGCCAGAGAGAACTTTACAGAATGAGAAAAGGCAAATTAAATTTGATTGCATTTCTGAGTTGTTGTTGTATAGCTAGAACTCATAGTCTAAACATTTTACACTTAACTAATCAATGAACTAGCCGTAAAGCTAAACCATTTGAAGTACACTCTAAGCTCAAAATCCTTGTTAGTTGATTTCTAACATGCCATACAAGCATACACTTGCACTCTCATTCATACATTATGTGCAAAGTTAAGTCTCCACATGAATAGGAAGAAACAAGGCTTACATCTAATGCAAAATCTGCTATTTTTAAACAGCAAAATTAATTGCCTGGCATAAATAAAATGCACAAACAGTATTTTGTTAAGAAAAACAGGCCAATTCAACTCTTACCAAGTAACCTGGAAATCAAAATAAGACTTAATTCAAAATGTAGTTTTAACAAAATAGAAGGAGATATAAAAAGAAAAATAAATATATCAATGAAATAACAGCATTCAAATAAATGCTGACCTCCATGGCCATCATAAACACCAAAGAAAGATGTGGAACTGTCCAAATCTGGGTAAGCCGCATGCTGTGAAACACCTCATTTTCAGTATGAAATATAACAAAATTTATGGAAAATCATGAAACTGTAAGTTCCCTGAATGGGAGGCATGATTCTGTCTTTTGCAGCATATAGTTTCTTTTTAAGAATACATCAGTTTTAAATTTATCACCCTAAATATAAACCATTATAATTGGAAGTATCACTTTCCATATGAAATATCACGTAACCATTATCATTATCATTAAAAGTATGTTATTTCTTAGCTAGGACATTATGAATTTGGTTAAAATCTCAAAAATTTTTAGCAATGACAACATTGTTGAAGAAAATTAAAGTTGAGTGCTTTTGCTAAAGAAATTGAAGGTTAACGAACAAGCCGAAATTTAGTGATGAAGTTCATCCATAGAATTCAGCCCAAAAATCAGTGCTGTCATGCATCTTTCCAAGCCCTCACAGAAGAGGCAAGAAACATATTATAGTTGTTTCCATTGAAATCTACATAAACTAACAAGATATACTAAAAAATACATTCTAACACCTCACAGAAGAGGCAAGAAACATATTATAGTTGTTTCCATTGAAATCTACATAAACTAACAAGATATACTAAAAAATACATTCTAACAATGGTTCAGCTACCCATAGCTACTGTCAGATAACCTGATGCTTTCCATCCAAACAAAGTTATAAACAAATAATGAAATTTAGTCCTCATATTTTATTTCATTCAATTTGGTGATGAAGTATTATGAACAAAGTCCCAATTGCCAACAGAAGTGATCATGTCAATTACAAGACAATACAATTTTTTCAAAAAATATATTTGATCAGCCACAAAATAAAACTGGCATTGAATGCAACGACATGAAAAGGAAGAAAGCTCAGGAAGCAAAGCAATTAGGACCAATGTTCAGAATTTGCAGCACTGTTGCCAATACCACACAAAGTGCTGTTATGTGTTATTTAAATAATTTTTCTAGCAGCTTGTTATACACAAATCCTTGCTTCTTGCAGACAACATTAACAGTTCAGAACTTTTAATGCGTGATAGTCCTATATATCAAACTTCATAAAAATTTCTTTCCAATTTAACCCACTACCCCAGTATAAACCTGCTGAAAACTCCATCTGTAATTTATCATGACTCGTCTTCAAAACACTAAAAAGAATTATGAATAATTGTGAAAACTTCCAGGCATTTACATCACTTTGAGTATTCCATTCTTCTTTTAAATTGCCATTTTCAGCATATAAGAAGAGCTGACAAATTGTTTAATACACTGGGTATCCATGAGTTTAAACCTTAGGGACAAACGCCACAAGAAAAAAAAAAGGAAAACAAGATGATTATGTCCATAATTATTATAACAATGCCGATAAGTATGCTCAATAATGAAGGACAATCTTAAAACTTAGGCATCTAATCACTCCATTATGCAAAGATTACACACAAACAAGTGTTAATTAAAACAACAAGATTACAGAGAATACTGACAGCATCTTCCATGGTTGCACGCCACCCTTGCATGGAAGACACCCCATATCGAAGTCTATCATTCTCACCATCTTCCGAGGCCTTTTCAGTTTTAGGGGTGCTGAGATATACCCCCATCTCCTGTTGAGCAAAAACCAACAACCACGCGTAGACCATCAGGTTTAGTTATATGTATGCAGACGAGTTTATTTAAACAAATAAAAGAATATAGAAAATAAAGGTGGCCTATCAATGATTCTCTCCAACTCTATGCCCAAATTTTACAAGCATGCACAGACAGATATATATTCAACTTAAATACATATATGTGGAAAGTTTGAGAGTCTACCACACATATTTGTCTACTTTACATATTCATGGTTCTATATTCAAGAGAAAATGCGTCCATAAAAAGAAATTTTCAAGTTGATATTTCCATATTTCTTTTTCATGCACAGAGAATCCAATAATTAACAAACAATCACATTTACTCACAAGAAAAATTTCTAAGCAAAGAAGTGAGAATGCACACAGCAAGCACAATATTCCATCAATTAATACCAAATCCAAAACCAGAGAGATAGAGATCATCTGAAAACAATTCAAACTGACGTCATCCCATTAATAATAGAACCTAAGTCTATATCAAGGAATGCATCACAAAAAGAAATTTAAATTAAAACGCCTTACAAAAAGTCTTCAACACTTCATTTGACGATGATTTAGGAGGAAACAGCACAAAGTGGAAACTAAGCCTCAAACGAAATAACATCCAAAAAACCGCAAATTCCAGTAGTATGAAGCAGAATTATAACCAGAAGGTTTCAATTTCTATAGATTTCTGTACATTTTCTAGCAAACCAAACAGAATATAGAAAACACAAACAACTAATCAATGAACATCTACGAAATTGATCACAATACAAAATAATTTGACAAGCAAGTATTGGCGATTGATAATGGATGAAGAAAATAAAAATGACTATAGGGTTTTGCGATGTAACTGTACTCACTAGTCAGTTTCAACGTCGGTCCGTACGATCGCAAATGCAGTGCAGAGGGAGAGAGTAGAAAGTCAGAGCAGAGATATATTATTATTTGTGTGTGTGTGTGTATATATATATTATATATATATATATATATATATATATATATATATATATATAATGGATAATAGGCTTCCTAGAAACCAACGACCAAGTGACAAAAATGGAAGGGGCTAACAGTACCTTTCCGTTTCAACTCCTTAACCAGCGGCAAGGACACGCGTGCTGGAGGTGGGCAAGTTATTTATTGCTTATATTTATTTTACAATTAAATGCCTTCTTTATTCAAATAATTAAATTTTAAAATTTTATTTCTTATGATTTTTATTTCAAATATTGAGTTTACATTTAGGTAATTGATAATTTTAAATGGATATAAAAATTAAAAACCAATGAAATTTATTTAAATTATATTTTTAAAGAAAATAATTCTAACATTAATGTCCATGTTTTTTATGTGATTAGAATTATTATAGACATCCTCAAAAAAGAAAGAAGAATTATTATGGACCAACATGGTAAAGATTTAAAAATTACAGAGCTTAGCTTGTTTTGGGTAATGTTAAAAGTGCATTATCTCATATTTACAGTTTTTATTTTTATAAATTAGATTAAATCTGTTACAACAAAATTTTAATTTTAAAGTACATTTAATATATTTTAAATTATTAAATTACTAAAATATTTAGTCGAAAATAATTTTGCCAATAATGTCAAAGTTTAGCTAAACCCCACAAAACGGCACCGTTACTTTTCACAAATTCTCTCTTTCTTTACGTGGACAAGTCTTCTTCTTTCCTAATTTTGATCACAACCGTAAACTGATTCTCGTATTCCGTCTGATTAAGTAGCTCAACCTCTTTAATAAAAGGCATCATAATTGTAGCAGTTAGTACTCCATAAAAGGATACTACTATCTCTATTCCATAATATTTGTCGCGTTTAAAATTTAATGTTTTTTAAAAAAATTATTAAATTTAACTAAGTTACAATAAATTATTGAATAGATCGACTATATTATCTTTAATTTAATATTAAAACTAGTAAATTGAAGTAGTAATAATTATTGGTCATATACAAAAGATAAACATAAAAAACAAATATTTATTACTCCTTAAAACTTCAAATATGATAAGTATTTTGAGACAAATTTAAATGTGATAGATATGATGAAACGAGTGTAATAATACGTAATCGACATAGATTTAAAAAAAAAACAGAGATGGTATTGACTAAGAGGAGTCAGTGTGTATTGATATTAGGTTAAGTTTAACAAAGGTCTTAGTAGACTCCATGATAAATAATTTTTATTTATAATTTTAGCGTTAATTGCAATTTAGAGTGTGAGTGTAATAAAAAGTTAAATATTAAAGTAAAATTGACATAAAAGTTAAAAATGGGATGTAATTGTAATAAAATATAAAGTTAAAGGTACTTTAAATACATTAGGCTTAATATAGATCTACATAGTCAAGAATTGGAGTGCAACGATTCAAATTAGTGCCTCTTTTGGGACTAGGGAGGGACCCAGTTCAAATTAGTGCCTCTTTTGGGACTAGGGAGGGACCCAGTGAACGTTAGACAGTGAACCATTATTTTTTGTCTTTTTCCATTCGTTCATCTGAAATTTGCAATATTGAGAAACTATTTTCTTTTTTCTTTTTCTTATTAAATGAAAGGCTAAATCACCAAAAAATAATTTTGAAATTTCATGCTTTTGGCAAATTTAGTCAATACTTTTAATTTCGTTAATTACTACTTCAGATTTATTTTTCCTTATCAATTATGATTCCATCCAGAATTCGTCGGCTTGTTGACGGTCAACTGGCTCTACAACACTAGCTCTACAACATTCTAGTGCATATTCGTATGGCCATTTTTTAGTCATTCATTATTGTTTTCAAAATCACTAAGTTGAAAAATTACGTTGTTAAGATAATTTTCTTCCCATCTCATCGCAAACTTGAAAGAATTTTGTACGATTTTACAGTTAATAGACTCTTAATGGACATTTGACGAGTAACTCGCGCGGTCAGTAATCCTAAAGTCCACTAAGTATGTTTCTATATTCCTGGAGCTGCCTCATTTGACACACCCAATTAGGTTCTAAATGGAGACAAACTTGACAATAAAAGATAAATATAGAGTAATTGATTGTCACAATCAAAAGTATTGACCGAATTTGAAAAAAAAACCCTTAAAAGTTCGTACTTTTTTATAATTAGGTATAAATAAAAGGATAGTATGTATTATTTTATATGTTTTAATTTTTATTTAGATTCTTCTTTTAGTTTTGATTAAAAAATGAGTGCCAAAATAGGTTGGCGTGTTGGGTTCTACACGGATTCGTTTAACACATGACATGATTAAGGTCAATATTAACACGATCCATTTAATAATCGTGTCAAATTTGTCGACATGAACACGATATGAAAATTAGGCAGGTGACATGAGCACTACACGTTTCACTCGCCTAATATCATAAATAATATCATAAATAAGTCAAGTGGATTATGTTGCAAAAAAGGGTAAAAGTTCATACTTTTTTATAATTAGGTATAAATAAAAGGATAGTATGTATTATTTTATATGTTTTAATTTTTATTTAGATTCTTCTTTTAGTTTTGATTAAAAAATGAGTGTCAAAATAGGTTGGCGTGTCGGGTTCGACACGGATTCGTTTAAAACACGACATGATTAAGGTCAACATTAACACGATTCATTTAATAATCGTGTCAAATTTGTCGACATGAACACGATATGAAAATTAGGCAGGTGACATGAGCACGACACGTTTAACTTGCTTAATATCATAAATAAGTCAAGTGGATTATGAAAGTTCATACTTTTTTATAATTAGGTATAAATAAAAGGATAGTATGTATTATTTTATATGTTTTAATTTTTATTTAGATTCTTCTTTTAGTTTTGATTAAAAAATGAGTGAAATGAGTGTCAAATGGTTGGCGTGTCGGGTTCCGACACGGATCGGTTTTAAAACACGACAGTGATTAAGGTCAACATTAACACGATTCGATTTAATAATCGTGTTCAATTTCGACATGAACACGATATGAAAATTAGGCAGGTGACTTGAGCACGACACGTTTAAACTTGTTAATATCAATAAATAGTCAAGCTGGTTATGTTGAAAAAAAAAAAAGTGTAAAAGTTCATAATTTTTGTATAAATATTTTTTATAATTAGGTATAAATAAAAGGATAGTATGTATTATTTTATATGTTTTAATTTTTATTTAGATTCTTCTTTTAGTTTTGATTAAAAAATGAGTGTCAAAATAGGTTTGCGTGTCGGGTTCGATACGAATTCGTTTAACACACAATATGATTAAGGTCAACATTAACACGATCCATTTAATAATTGTGTCAAATTTGTCGACATGAACACGATGTGAAAATTAGGCAGGTGACATGAGCACGACACGTTTAACTCGCCTAATATCATAAATAAGTCAAGTGAATTATGTTGACCATGTATAACCCATGTAACCTACCTAATATCATAAACAAGTGAAGTGGATTGTGTTGACCTATATATAACCTGTATAATCCGCCTAATATCATAAACAGGTTAAGTGTGGATCATGATGACTTGTATATGATCCACTTAACCTGCTTATAATATTTTTAAATTTTAACATATTTAACTCAAATCATATTTAAAAATAATGTTTCATACATAAAATGCATAAAAACCTGCTTATAATATTTTTAAATTTTAACATATTTAACTCAAATCATATTTAAAAATAATGTTTCATACATAAAATGCATAAATTTTTCAAGATTTATGACTAAAATAAAAAAGATTAATACAACAATAAACTTTAAATAAGTTTTAGATTAAATGTTTATATTTGACACTAAAAGTACTTATTTTCTCTTAAATAAATGGGTCATTGACACGCAACATGACATATTTCTATTCGTGGCTTAAGTGGACGATCCGTTTATAATACGAAACCGCTTAACTTCAACCCTAATTTATTTATTTCGTTGTTACACATGTTGTGTTGGTATGTCACACCCATTTAATACCCTTATATTAAAGATATACAAGGCGGAACTGGGCCCACCCAAAGCTTTAGAACTTTTCTAAATTTTGTTTTGTAAGATAGTGCATTTTTTTTTCAATTTGGTCCTCCTAATTTTGTTTTGGAATCTTACTCCATTCTTGAATATATGTTATTTAGGGCGGTACCAAAAATAAAATTTGAGGCGTGAAATAGAAGTAGCCAGAAAATTGACTAAGCGACTCCAATTATAAATTAAAAAACGTTATTAAAGCAAATAAAAGAAATATAAAAATATGTTGAGAAAATTTTGGATGGTAAGAGGAAAAGAAATTAAAATTTTTAATAGAATTAAACTTTTTCCTTATCTTATCCACTTTAAACTCATCAACTTTAATTTTGATAAAAAAATTAATTAAAGCCTAGCAATATATTGTCTGCTTTGAGACTCACACGGCTTTGTGTTTGGGCTAGAATCGACTCAATAGCCCTAAAAGCCTCTTGTTAGTCTAAGACTTATAAATTTTTATCTACATCACTTTCATTTTGTGTTTAACCGATGTGTGATTCGCCAAAAGTAAGTTAATATCTCAAACTAGTGTGGGTATTACAATTAACAGAAAAAAAATTCAATTATGAGTCAAAATATAGAGTTTTATTTTTTTATAAAAGTGAATTGTAATTTTGACGTGTAGAATAAGAAAAATAAATAAATGTTTATTTATGTAGGGACCTGTTATAAACATTTAATTAATAAATTTTTTTGAGAAAAATTTAATTAATAAATTTTAAAATCTATCATTATAGCTAGCCCCTAAAAAACAAATCTCTCACCAACCGCGTTGTAGGACCCACGGGTTCGCGGCCATTATATTTCAATTCTATGATTACAATGTAGTGGTGGGTCCCAGTTTTACTCCACCAAACCTTTTCTACTTTTGCTGGGCCCATTTGGTGATAGTTGGTGCAACATGGGCGACAGGGCAAGCCTTCGTAAGCGGTTGGACTAGGGCGTTGCAAATTGCCGAATTTTACAATTTTGTTTGAAAAGCATAGGGAAGTAAAATAATACAAAAGGAAAAC